CTGAGCAGCCCAGACGCCGATGACGTGATGTGTGCCAATCATTTAAATTCTCTGATAAAAAAGGTAAGAAATTGACCCATTAAATCACTTTAAGGAAATGCATCCTAGTGCAGCAGAATTACTTACGAGAGATCGTAAACCAATCGATATGAACCTTAGGTTTTTCATCCTCTGCTCTGGTGACGGAAAGGAGGATATACTCTATCTGAACAGACCCATCAGCACCTTGTACCTGAATGGCATCGATCAAATACCCTGACCGTGAAGCCAAATCAGCTTCATGCTCAAAGACCATCTACAAAGACAAGGCTTAACAAAAGTTCACTTCGAAGCCATGTAAATAACCCGATAATGCACTTAAGTACCTTCCAATGAGGTAGAGCTTCTGAGAATCGATCTCCGGTTTCAAGTAAGTAGATGGCATCAGAACCGTTAGAAAGTAAGGCGTAGTCCTTTAGCATCACTAATGAAGTGTTATATGCCGAGGCTGAGTATTTCAATGAATCTTGTGGGATGGAAAATACAGTTTGGCCGCTTGTAAATGCTTCTCTTTTTGAGGGAATGACCAAACCCTTAACCTAACCGATAACTTATGACGAGAACAATTAAATACCTTCCATGTTGTTGTCACGTAATACAAATGGTTGGGAGAGAAGGGATCCTGGAACAGACAATTGTGCATCGATGAGAGGCGTATAGTTAGCCTTGAGAAATCATCATTTGGAAAGGATTTTAAATAAATCCCTATTAAAATAAATAAACTAGAAAACCCCGCGAACCTTCATTTTCAAAGGTTGTGATGATGGTCGCCGATTCATTTGAAAGCTTGTAGGATTGAAATTTCGGGTCAAGCAATTTACGGTCGGGTAAAATTGAGACGTTCATTGTGCCAAAGTAGTGCCTATCAGTATAGACAATAACGCATTACGAGACGGAACACACTTAACACCACCGCGGTAACCTTGCTCCTGTTGGAGCCATTCATAATGAAACCACATGCTTACAATCGCAGTGGTCAATG